GGCGACAGCATGGCGATACAAACCCGTGACGAGCGTGGCCCGCTGGATGATCATGCCCTCGCCGACGCCGTAGCCGTCCATCGCATCCAGGGCATACAGCTTCCCGGCGGGATCGAGCACCTCCAGGGCGGCCACGTCGTCCGCCTCCGCGATGAGCCGTCGGTACACCGCGCCGTGCTCCCACGCCTGCATCACCTTGGTCGCATTGCTGCCCAGCGCGATGCTGTCCCCTGTATCCTCCGTCGAATCTTGTCAGCGGCTGAGTGAGTGGGGAGACCGCGGATTGGCATCCCTACCCAGAACCCGGACCTCGGGGCTCTTCTCCAGCCCGATCACCCTATGGCCCTTGTAGTGGCACTCGATGGCCGCCACCAGGCCCAGAATCCCCAGCCCCACGATTATCACGTCGATGCCGCTGGATTGCGGCTCGGCGACCCCGCCCGGGCCGACCCCGGTGCTGATTGTCATGTTGGACGAGTGAGTGAGTTAGTGAGTGGGTAGGTGAGTGGTTTCTGTGGCCTTGGGGATGGTGCTGTGGTGCCGTGGAATGAGTTAGTTGGGAGAAGGGGGAGATTCTTCCTCTCCTCGGATGATCGATGGTCAGCTGATCGACAGCGCTTCCTTGCATGGAGGGAGGGGAGAAGGGGGCGGCAAACGATGAGCGGTCTGGCCATGTCTTTCCTGGGTCGAACGCTGGAGATGCAGTTTTCACGCTTTAGCTCTTCCTCCTCCCTCGCGTTTGGGGTGTAAACTAGCAGGTATCCGCATATGGTTTAATGCTTAGCGGGTTAGTTGGTTCAGCGCTGGTCATTGTGGTCTGGCCACAGGGGGCGGTAGTAAGTCTCCTATTCCAAGTCCAGGTTGGTCGGGTCTCACCGCCAGCAAGGACATCGTCACCGTGAGACGAAACTGGATGGGCTAATCAGCTACTACCGCGTGATTTGCGTTTTGCAGGAATGTCTTGTGCTGAATAATCTAATCGGTTTCGTTCGGCGGCTGAGCCCGCCGGGCCCTACACAACACACACATCGCTCGTGCACTATCATGCAAGGAGGGTGCAGCATAATGCGTCTGCAAGTCTGACGTCATGAATGAGGATGCCTAACATAGCCAAGATACGGGGAAAGGGGGGGGAAGGGGAGAGAAAATGGTGATGTCCAGTTTTTCCTGTGCAGTGAGGAATGTGCGGTGACTCTGTATACCCAGTTCTTTGGGCTGGGAAATGTGCATATGCAACATGCAGCATGCACATACTCCGGCCCACACATAAACAGGGCAGCGGGCGGAATCTCCCTTGATTGGGCCGGCCATGCAAGGGTCTCTTTGGGGATTGATTGGTTTTTGCCACATGATCAAGGGCGTTCAGGATTGGATGCGCTGTAGGCTTGGGCGTGGTGCTCTGCAATTCAGGCTATGGATTGTGCAGGGCGGCTGCCTCAGGCTTTGAAGGATGTGTTGTGCTGGTTACGCGTGACATGTTGGAACCCTAACATGGGTGATGTTGTACAGTACTCTGGTTATTGAAGAACTCTGGCAGTGATATCTAGTCCACGATCTATGACCCGTTCAATTTTGATGAACCTCCTAAAGGCAAGAGATTCACGACCTGACTGCGGAGAAGCTTGACTAGGTTTTCTTCGTCGCTTCACCAAGGCATATTGAAAAATGAGGAGAGCCGCGAGGGAGTTGGGCAAAGTTACTGTAGACTTGTATACGGAAAGATGCTCGCAAAGCATACCGCCGAGGAATAAGGATTATAACGATTTAGCACGACTCGCCCACTGCAGCAAGCAAAGTGCAAAGAAGACGGATGGAACATACTGAGCAGAAATACAGCAAGGTGAGTACAGGCAGCTCTATCACCATCACGAGAAAGGGGAACTATTGTAGCAGTGTCAAGGCAGCAAGAAAATAGCCATTTCATGAATTGCATGCTTAACGTCTACGCACTTTGACTGCCCACCTCGCCATCCCTCTTCTACTACTATCATCATTTAAGCCTGGCCTCGACGATACCCATAATGTCGCCCGGCTTCCTCCACACTTGCACCAGCACCAGCCCTGCACTGTCCAGAAGGCTTGCAAAGTTCTTCTCAGTCCGCTCGATGCCTCCGATGGCCATCAAGCTCAGATCCTGCCAGGCGTGAGTCATGGTAGCCCCCGTCTCCGGGATGATGATGTCGTGGATCAAGATCCGGGACTGGTCCCGGTCCATCGCAGCCGCGGTATTTTCGAGGATCGTCTTCGCTTCCGGCACATCCGGCCAGTCGTGGAAGACACGTCGAAAGTAATATATAGAGGCGCCTGACAGATCAATTGTAGATTAGCTATTACGACCACAACACGGGACCGCGCTCGAAAGGAAAATGAAAGAAAAGGCTTACCCCGGATTGGCTGAGCTTGCTTCAAGAAGTCGTAGACCTGCGGTTCAATACCATCGGCTCGCAGCGCCTGGCTGTGTTCCTGGATGACAGGCTCAAGATCCTGCACGATGAACCGACGGCCTTTTAATGCCGGGACGATCTTCATGATCTGCCGCGTGGCGTTTCCATGGCTGCCGGCGATATCGACGATGGCCACACGGTCCTGGGCGGCACCGCGAAGCCGATCCTCCCATGGGTACAGGTCCATGGCCATTTGCTCCACGTCGGCGGCTTCGGCCTTGGTCACAGGCGCAACATGCTTCGGATTCTTGTAGAGGTACTCGAACATCGTCTCGCCCGGACAGTTGTGGGCCAGGGTGAACGGGTTGTTTCGGGTCGTGATGGCGTCTTTCCAGTCATGCTGGCGAAGGAAGTCGCATATCTGCAAGATAGGCCCGAAGATGAAGTCCGACCTACGGGGAAAGGTCTCGTGTTCAGTAACCAGACAGCAACTATAAAAGCCTCCTGCTTGACGACGCACATTACCGGGAAGCAGCCCGCGATGTCTGCGGTCAGATATGCCTCGGAATACGGCGTGTGGGCATACTCCTCCTCGCCTGTCTCGCGGAAAGGACCGAATGGAGTCACGGCTCGCATCAGGCGTACTGTATGCCCGTCAACAATGATGTTGCGAGGTCTTGGAGGTTCGGGTCCGACATACTCAGGATGCTCTTGTCCATACCCGTCCGTGAAGCGATCTCGCTGGCCGTCATCGGAGCTCCGCCCTTGGGGATGGCGTAGAAGACCCCGGCCGCTAGAAGAGTTCGTAGCGCTCCCACTTTGACGATCTATTCGAGGCTCGCTCATTGTCATTCAGATGCCATGCGAAACAGAGACAGTGCTCACTAACCTCCTCGAAAGAAGACAGCGCCGAGGGCACAGGGCCGCGGACGGTTTGGATCAGGCTGGAGGCCTTCCTCTGCAGGTCGAGCTTGGTCTCATCGCCGGCGGTATCACCATTCAGGAAGCGCTGGGCTGCGACAACTATCGCGTCAACATCTTTTTGCACGGCCAGCCGCTGCGCGTCAGTCTTGTCGGTGATCGTCATGATAGTGCAGGATCCCCGTAACTCCGGATTGTGTATCTGGTATCGATAAGCCACAAAGAAGTTACAACATGTTATGATTAGGAAACGAGCTTACTGGTTGATTTTGATATTGACATCATGGTTGAGCTGGCTCGAAAACAGGGATACGGCCCGCGAGTCATGGTCCCAACCCCTAGCATTTGCTTGAAGTTCAAGCAACAAAGAGAATTTGCCACCTTCTCATCGGGATCTGAATCCATCAGTCTATCTTCATGATTGAGCCGAGTGCAAAACAGGGTTGAGCCCCGCGGGCTACCGTCCCATCTTCTGGCCTTGCTTTGACCGGTCAACCTACGGAGGAGTGAGACATGGAATACTTGTGGCTTGTCGTCAAATCTGCCCTATTGCGGTTGCTCGCGTTCACCACATACAACATTCCACCATGGGGAGGAGAAAGGACATGTCCAAGACCGACTCTGTATACGGCTAGCCTGGAAGCCACATAGGATCTCAGGTGATTTCGATTGCAACTAAACTGTAATTGTTCTTGGTAGATAGAGTAAGATGGACATGCAGACTACCCAATCTTCCTTTCGAATTCTCAAGCCCCTTTTCCTCACACAGCCCAGCTCATCAGGGCAGTTGTCCTTGGTTGTGGTCATCTTGTAGCACGGGATTCCTGTGCTCTCCGAGGGACTGGCCGGAGTGCTCGGTGCACAACCACGCTGCTTGGTGCTTGGGGTCCTATGCCTGCATGCTACTGTGTATTTCGGCACTGTTTCTGCAGGCATATCTACCCGATATTCTTCGTTTCTTCATGGCTGGCTCGCATACTCCAGCAGACTTGCAGAACCTGTTTCACTGTTGCTCGTGTGTTGCTCGCCCGCATAACCCCGCAGCTCCTTGCCTGGATGAAATCATCTCGCTTGCAGGACCCTCCTCGGTTGCATGGCTCCTTGCTTGACAGAGGTCTTGCGCCATGCCTTGCCTGGAAGATTCATCTTCCTTGTCTAAATCTTCCGTCGCGCGGTCTCACGCGTTGATGGATTAATATGCAGTTGACTGTGGTAGATAATGATCACGTGATCACACTGCGGCGTGCTGTGCTTCGCATGTCTACACCACAAATCGATCCGGACCTCGTCCCTGAAGGTTCCAGATGATCGCTCACCTGGACTGAAGAAGAAGCGCTTGTACGGTGTGAAGCGGATACACAGCTTGTTACTGTACCCTGAACATATGACACATTTTGAACATACACGAGGGCTAATCTGATGATAACATATCATGTCTACTCTGAAATGGTAGCAACCTCAATGCAGAAGAAATCAATCTCAAATAGTCTATTCACATAGTGCTCTCAGGATTACGTATGATTCAGTCTAGTATCTGGGCCAATGCGGGGATATGTAGATATAGTAGGAGTGCTAGGTAGGTCGGAGAGTGATCTTCCTTTAGAGAAGGCGGTGAAGGCTCGCGACCTTCTCGATCTCTCTCTCTCCATCGTCATGTCGCTGTACACACGCCAGCAATTTAAGCGAATCTCATCATTTCTCTCATCAATTCATTTGTGACCCTACTTCGGAGATATGAGAAGATACACGCCTCAGCACCTCCTTTTTAGTCAATCCCAAAATCACCATGCTAAACTGAGTTGAGAATAGGAGCTTTCATTCCGAACGAAGCCCAGGACAAACCCCACCCCCGACTGAGATGGAATGAAATAGTCATGACTGTGGTCCTCAACTCGATGACACAGACACATTTTCGAAAGAGATTACAGAGACTCCAAGATTATCGCTTGCTCAGCAACCTTGAACCATGCATCCCCACGTTTCTGAGCCTCTCGGCCGTTCGTGTCCGCGGCGGACTTCTCCGGCGACCGGAGGCGATAATGCTCGACCGTGTACGCCACCAACACCTTGAGGATCGTATCCGCCAATGCCTGGGCGATACACTGGCGCGGCCCGAAGCCAAAGCGCCAGAACCGGTAGCGGAAATGCGCGCGGGATTCGGCCAGGAACCGTCGCGGCCGGAAGCTCGTCGCGTCCGGGCCCCAGGACTCATCCCGGATGTTCAGGGCATTGGTATCGACCACCATGTAGCTACCCTGGGGGATGCGGTATCCCCCGACGTCGCGCGCTGTGGGGATCGACTGGGCGTACGTGTAATTCGTCACCGGCCGCAGTCGCGCCGACTCGTTGATGCAGCTCGCCAGCAGCGTGGAGTGGCTGGCGATGTACCGCTCCCACGCTCCTGCGGAGTCGTCCGATCGTACGTCCATGATCTCCCTGCGGAGTTGCTCCTGGATGCCGGAGTCGTCGGCCAGGAAGGCCGGGATCCAGGAGAAGCTGCCGATCGTGACGTCGATGTTCGCGAAAAGCGCCTCGTCGAGAGTATGCATTAACTCCGTGGGCGTGAGCTGGCCGCGCTCGACCGCGGCATAGAGAGGTACGATTGCGCATGCGGCGCCCTGGCCGCTGGCTTGGGCGCGTTGGTATGCTTGCCGGTTGAATGCCGCCCACCGCTCGTGGAAGACACGCAACTTGGCCCGGATCGTCGGCGAGAAGAGTTTCGTGAAGGAGAAGAGCGACAGTCCGCCCTTGAAGGCATACTGGAAGACGTCGGTCCGCAGGTCGGTGATGGCGAGGAGTTCCTGCACCATGTCCGGAGGCAGCTCTCCGTACAGGAGATCACCGATCACCCAGAAAGGCAGGAGCTTGAGATCCTCGGCAGGCTTCAGACGCCACGACTCTCCGGCTTGATAGTCCCCGTCTAGCTCGTTGAATTGTCGAGCCACTCGTGACTGCACCAACGGAACGTAGGTGGTGGCCTTCTGAGTAAATGGAGGCGAGACCACCGCATGGACACGTTTCCAGTGCCCCTGGCTGATGAGGCCCACCCCGTCTCCAACCAGATCGCCCATCACCCAGCCCCCATTCAGGTTTGAAGCTTTCAAGTGATCTCCAGAGTCCCTGAAGACCGTTTTGATCTCCTCCGCCCGCGTTAGAATGCTGGCAAGGATTAGCACGGACCAATAGCTGCCGAACCGGACACGTACATCTCAGGCGTCAGGCCAACCCAGATGCGATAGACCGGTCCATACTTCTCCGCCCATCGACGAGAGACCCTTTCGTATTCGAGAAACTTGAGGCTCCCTCCACCGTCGGGAAATCGGTATGGACATGTCGGAATCGAGGTCCGGCCGTCTGCCGAATGGATTGGATACCACCATAACAAGAAACACTGTAAATTAGGACTGGATTCCACAAAGACACCGGTGAAATAACACTCACATTGATCACATAGGAGATGAATCGATTGGGCCAGGTGTTTGGCGTGAATGCGCGCCAGAACGCCAGTAAGACCGCGGCCAGACCAAACTGGATGGTCAGAGCAATTTGGCTGACCATCATGTGAATCTGCTTGCTGGATGATCCGGACACCGGTTACCCAGGGGGTCAAAAATCCAGAGGCGAGGCGAGCCTGGACCAGATAAGTTCAAATGACGTGCACTCAGCTCACTGACCGACTGGTTGATTCTGTGGCCGGGGAGAAATCCCTGACACCGATGCAGTTTCCTCATCAGTGCTGAGCATGTGGTGACGGCCATGTAAGGGTCGGGTCGCAAGTGGAGTTGTCTTGGTCTCGGATACGCCGATCTCCAGGCATGGACAGCGGTATGTAGGCATTCAGCGGGGGTTATTCTATATTCGGTCGCGCAAGGGTGATGTCTCTCAACCCCTGACTCGCCGGGCTACCTCTTGGTCATTCTGCAAAAATGTCCAGGGCAGAGCAAGCTGGACTGGTAATGATATCATCACCTTCAAAGCAATACCACGATCGTGGTCACGGTTGAATACTATATTCTCCAATACAGAGGCCCTGCCGCTCCCCTCAACCTCTTGATTTGTCTATACACGATAGAGCGGGCTCACCATGAACTTGTGTCTTGATCGTCATGTCATATCTTTTCCTCTAGATGAGGAATTGCTAGCGAGGTGGAGCGCGAGTGGGACATCTACGCCACCAGCGCATCCGCTCAAGGCAGCATGGGCGCTGTTACTTTCCCGAGTCTCGGGGGTACCGAAAAGCAAATTCGGAGTCATCGAGACGCCGATGACTTCGGTCGTTGATCCAAAGATCAATCCCATGAGTTCGGAGCTACCGCATGTAGAGACCTGGGCGATATCCGAAAATGCCGACATTGCTCTGCGGGATGCAGCCGAGGAGAGCACCGAGTGTCTCGTGGAAGCCGAGGCCACCTCTGCGATCATCATCAGCTGGGACGGTGAAACAGCCATTGTAAGTGGAGAATGAGACTGTCTTCATCGTGCCAGGCACTAATGGCCTCCGAGTTACCATCGACCTTTCAAACGGTTGTGCTTTTGAATTGCGGCCTGTCACCGGCTCAAATGTACATGAGTTTCTCGCGAGAGTTCCTCACAATAAGCATGGCCTGGGCACAATTGGCTTGTTGTGTTCGGCTCCTGGAGCAAATGATCCTGACTCCCGACTTGCCGCTTTTCAAGGTAGACTTTCTCGGCTCTTACGGCGAGAAGACGATTCGGCAATGGAATAATCCTTATTCCCTGTCCAGACCGAATGTTTGTATCCACACACTGATCCAGGAACAGTGCCACAGTCAGCCTGAGGCGGAAGCTCTGTGTGCCTGGGATGGCTCCGTCACATACGCCGAGTTGGATCGGCTATCGCTAGCAATCAGCATTCTGCTGCAGACCCATGGAGTCGGTTCTAATACGACTGTGCCGCTTCTCTTTGAGAAGTCTCAATGGACCGCGATCGCTATTTTGGGGGTGCTGCGGGCAGGTGGCGCTTTTGTTCTGTTGGATCCTACCCACCCGGTCCATCGTCTGGAGGAAATCTGTATCGAAGTGGAGGCAACAGTTGTCCTCACCTCTCGTTCACTGCACGAACTGGGCGGCCAAGTACATCGGCAAGCAATTGCAGTCCCGAGAGCCGAAATTGAGGTGGATGAATCAAACTGCCACCGGGCCTCGATCGTTAATCCATCCAATGCTGCTTATATCGCCTTCACTTCAGGATCGACTGGGAAGCCCAAGGGAATCGTGATCGAGCACCGGTCTTTCTGTGCGAATGCCCTAGCCCAGAATGCGGTCCAGAATCTGAACTCCCAGACTCGTGCTTTTCAGTTTGCCGCCCACGCCTTTGATAGCAGTATTCTGGAGATGCTCATGACGCTCATAGCCGGGGGGTGTGTCTGTATACCCTCGGAGGAACAGCGTCTGAATGGACTGTCGAACGCGATCAACACCCTCCAGGCCAACTGGCTGGAATTAACGCCGTCTGTGGCACGTTTCCTCCAACCTGATCTGATACCGGGGGTCAAGTCACTGCTACTCGTCGGTGAGCCAATGTCACGCAAGGATGTGAGCCAATGGGCCGATAGGGTCCAACTTTTGAATGCCTATGGCCCTGCTGAGTGCAGCGTGGTAACCACGATCCAGTCCCGCGTGAAGGCAAATGACCCGCAGAACATCGGGCGCTCCTACAGCGGTCACTGCTGGATCGTGAATCCTCATGATCAGGACCAGCTGGAGCCTCTGGGTGCCGTGGGGGAGTTGATTGTCAGTGGGCCGATCGTGGCCCGAGGCTATCTCAATTACCCGCGCCAGACTTCATTCATCAGCACGCCCCGTTGGGCGACCCGGTTCGGCGTCCCCGAGGATGAGCGGTTCTACAGGACTGGAGATCTTGCTCGGTATAATGTGGATGATGGGACGCTGCAATACATCGGGCGGAAAGACCGGGAGGTCAAAATCCATGGCCAGCGCATTGACCTGCAAGAAATCGAATATCTTGCGTCTCAGTACCAGAATGAAGTGGCCGCAGTCGTTGATGTGATTCAGCTTGGGGATAGCAGCGCAGGCAAGCTTCTGACGATCTTCTTGGCATACGCAGATAAAGACCTTTGTTCTGACAGCTGCAAGGGTCAGGTTGTCAGTGCAGATGCCGCCATGCGTTCTGTGTCTGTGGGTATGAAAGGCTGGCTTCAAGACTGTCTGCCCCCATATATGATTCCTACCAAATACGTCTGGGTGACTGGATTCCCTTTGACGCGAACGGGAAAGCTCGATCGACGGGCATTGATAGATTTGGGAACAGCAGCGACCCGCGCACGAACACACAATCCAGAAACAGAGTCGTCAACCATGGATGGCCACGAGGATGCTGACTTCGACCCCGATATGCTATCGAAAGAGGACCTTATCCGTTCACTATTTGCTGAGGTGTTGGATTGTCCTGGACAGGTCATCAGTATACATGATGACTTCTATGAACTGGGAGGAAACTCGCTGGCCGCGATTGAACTTGTCGCTCGCGCGCGCAGTCGAGGTCTGGAGGTCACAGTGGCAGAAGTCATCCGTTCTCAAACCGCCCATAAGATTGCCAGGTCCTCCTTGGAGACTGCAGAAAGCCCCGAAATTCCACCTTTTGCTCTGCTGGGAAACCATGACAGAGAAGAGATTCTATCGAATGCCGTCGTCCAGTGTCAGGTCATGCCCAGCCAGATCGAGGATATATACCCGTGCACCCCTCTACAAGAAGGTCTCATGTCGCTGTCAATCAAAAGGCCCGGGGCCTTCATTGGTACATACCAGTTCTCATTACCTTCTTCGACGAGCGTGACTCAGCTGCGTGCCGCATGGGAACGGCTTTGGGTAGCACATCCAATACTACGGACTCGGATCGTCTCGGCGAAGGATGGAACCATGATGCAGGTCGTCATAAAAGAAAATCTCCTTTGTAGGGAAGGACTATGCGCCGACGATGTCCGGAGATCAATGGGCTTCGGAACCCCACTCGCACGTTTGACAATTCAGCAACTCAATACCCCTGTTCTGTTTATTATCACGATTCACCACGCTATCTTTGATGGATGGTCGTACGTACAGCTGCTTGAGGACCTGCACAGTTTTTATCAAGGCCAGTTACCACCACCGCGGCCCGCATTCACTCAGTACATTCGATATCTTGCGTCATCGGATTCGCACAGGAGCCGTTCTTTCTGGAAGGACGAGCTCAAAGATTACCAGTCCCCAGTGTTCCCATCATCCTTGTCCCGGTGGCCATCAACCTTACCTCAGTGGCTTGTAAAAAGCCATCAGGTCTCCTTAGCCGGGCTTGATATCAATTGGAAGCTCGCAAACCAAATCAAGCTGGCATGGGCATTGGTCGTATCCTCCCAATCAAACTCCGACGATGTCATATACGGGCTGACTGTTACCGGCCGAAACGCTCCGGTTTCTGGGATTGATCGTATCACAGGTCCGACATTCACCACATTCCCATTCCGAACACAGCTGAACCAGAAGCTATCTGTCCAACAAACGTTAGCTGAACTGCAAGAACATGATGTATCCCTCATGCCATATGAGCACACGGGCCTCAAGAATATTGCGGAGTCAAGCCCAGAGGCAGCTTGGGCTTGCGGCTTTCAGAACCTTCTGACCGTCCGACTTCGCTCATCTCAGAGTACATCCTCAGCCTTCCTCGACTTACCTGAGAATGAAGCCGAAGACCTGAATTTTGCATCTTATCCTCTATCAATCGTGGTCCAACAGAAGGACAGTCTGCTGAAGATCAAAGCCTTCTATGACGGGGAAATTCTGACTCCCAGTTTTGTCCAGGACCTCCTCGATGACTTCGAAACCTTCCTGCAGCACGTCATCCAGCAGCCTCAATCCATCATCGGCGATCTGAAAAGCCTTATGTCTCAGCGATGGCAGCAGGTGGCTGAGATCAATACAGAAACTCATGATCACCCGTCGCCGAGGTGCCTTCACGACGCTATCCAGGGGCTTGGTATCACGCAGCCAGAATGGGAAGCTGTGTGCGCATGGGATGGCTCCCTGACGTACGAGGAGCTAATTACCATGGGACGTACTCTCGCAGGTCATCTTCAACTCTCGGGATCAGGTCCTGGGACGATTATCGGGATTTGTCTGAGGCGCACGAGGTTATTTCCCGTCGCGATTCTCGGCGTTTTGATGTCTGGAGCTGCTATGGTGTTGCTGGAGCCAGATTTCCCGCCGCAGCGTTTGAGCTGGATTCTGAACGACGTGGACGCGCAGTTTGTCATCTGCTCTCCGGGGTTACAGGAGAAGTTCGAGGGCAAAACCAAAACCACAAGGCAGATTATCCCCTTCGCATGGGATCTGGGAGAATGGAAGAGTTGCGATTCTTGGCTCCCACCACCGGTCAGCCCTAGCGATCCAATGTATGTTGCCTTTACCTCCGGATCGACCGGTACCCCCAAAGGGGTGGTTATAGAACATGGGATGGTCTACTCGACGATCCATGCCCACAAAGACGCTATCGGCGCAGCAAAGTCGTCCCGGTGCTTGCTTTTCGCCTCGCCGGCGTTCGACATCTGTCTGGCAGAAATATTCTTCATGCTTGCCACTGGAGGCTGCGTCTGTATTCCCTCCGAGAGCCAGCGCATGAATAGCCTGGGTGAGACCATGTCGGCCATGAGGGTGAATA